TCTTACTTCCTAGCTCCAGTGACCTTGGGAGGTCAACCAAGTTCTCTATGTCCAAGGTCCCCACCATCAAGGGGAAGGATAATATCTACCTGGTTCAATGAGAAAAGGCGCAGAAGAACTCAGAACACTGTCTGGAACTTAGAAAGGGCGCAGCACGCGTCACTGTGGGTGTTTGCACACAGGAGTTGGATTACGCAGCTGGAATCTCTTCTTGAGGTTTTGAACCAGTTCTTACTGACTTGAAATGTAACTTCTTTTGCTCATTCTCCTTCGCTTTTTTAATCAATCCTGGCAAAATACTTACTAAGCTGCCTGCCCTTTTCATGGTAGTGCCAACTGTATCCTGGTGCTTTCGGGCACATCTTTATTTATCTGGTCTCACTTCATTTATTAGAAAGTGAAGCACAGATTTCCCCTCTCTGCACCAACCCCACAGATTTAGTTGTATCATCTGAAGGAAGAGGAAGCATGAGTTATTTTTGTATTCTTAGGTCCTGACCTGAAATGAACTTTTACTTTAAAAAACAACAAAAACAAAAAAAGACCTCATATGTAAAACTTTTATGATACAAATATGCAACGGCCCTACCTGAACACCACTGTTTCCAAAACCAGGGCTTGCAGCGAGCCACCATAATGTCCGCCTTGGAAACAAAACTAAGTAAAACCCAGGACCACGAAGTCCCTCGGTGCCCCCGGAGGACACAGAAATAAATGCCAGACACGAAGTCATATGAACAGGTGAACTTTTTCCTTTTTCTTCCTTCCTTCTCTCTGGCAAAGATTCTTTTATAAGTAAACAGCAGACAGTCCTACCATAAGAAAAATACAGTAATCTTTTAACAGAATATCCTAAGACCCTCCCTCACATAAAGAGCAAAGACAGTGAAAATTCCCACACACAACGACGAACACTGTTCTGTGTGAACAGTCGCCAGCACCTCTTTTTAGCTTCGCCACCCATATATTCCTTACTTTCCCCCATTATCCCTTTAGTGCCACATCTTCGGCACGGATCAACAATGAAAGGCCAAGGTTATGTTTTTATATATTTTTTTATTGATTTCAGAGAAGAAAGGAGAGGGAGAGAGAGATAGGAACATCAATGAGGAGAGAGGATCATTGATTGGATGCCTCTTGCACACCCCCCACTGGGGACCCTGAGCCAAACCAGCCAGGGGCCAAGGTTATTTTTTAAGTGACAACACTGCTTAGAATGACTCCAAATGTCAGCCACGAATGACCTATCCCTCTGCAGCTAAACGCAGGGACCCAGACTAACAGCTCACAATGAATAGCACACAGGCAGGACATGTAACAAGGTAACATTCTCTTCCCATCCTGGAAATAGCAGTTGCAATTTATCTTTTTTTTTTTTAATCATTTTTTCAAATGGTTCTTTTAAGAAGTCTAATAATTCCAGTCACTTACCTGTCAGCAACTTCTACATCAAAACAGAATCTTCTGTCTATGGAGTCTGTGTGCCTCTTGGTACATTCTCTCAAAAAGAACACCTCTCCATCCCCCTGCAAAGAATCGTTTTAAACACTCTCAAAAACCACAGTATAAACATATGCACACGGAGGCACCCTGTATGGGAGCGGGGAGAGAGAGAAAGATTTTAAGTCTCTTTATCCTACATATTATCTTCCAAACTAGTTTCCATTTAGAACCTTAACCATTTTTGTCCTTCTCCTTTCCTTGGGGGTTTCTAGACCCTCTTTGGTGACAACAACATTAAGTAAGACCTCAGGAGGGCACATTTTAAGAGCTACTTGAACAAAACATTTTCCGCATGCTAGAATATGTATTACTGTCTTATTGCATTCTTTTAAAAAGAATAGTGTGTTTTTAATGCCTAGTACAGTATACCATATAAAATAGCCAGTATGTTACCATTTTGACCTATAAAAATTTGATTCTAGCTACGGGAACTTGGAGGTCACTTAAATTCTCTATGTCCCAGTTCCCCCATCATAAAGGGGGAAGGATAATATCTACCTGACAGAGGTGTAGTAAGATTACATGAGAAAAAGCGCAAAAAAATTCAGAACAGTCTGGAACTTACCTAGAAGTCCACGAAGGGGCCTAGATTAGCAATGCTGGTCATCTAAAACTAGAACCACTCAATCTACACAGTTTTTCTGTTTCCTAAGTGAACATCCTGAATTTATCTTTTCTTATTTTTTTTTTTATGGTACTTGTTTACCTCCCTAAACCATCCTCTCTAAAAGCATTAAAAAGAGGCAATGCAGGAACGCAAGTCCTCGGTGAAGAACTGTGAGAAGTCGGGCTACTCCTAGAACATTTCAACATTTTCTAGACTAAGGATCTCCAGATACTATTCAACATTCAAATATACAAATATTCAAAATGTCACAGTCACTATGGATACAATGTATTTTTTATTTGGTGGCTAAAACAGACATCACTCAGCAGACCAGACCTAGGACTTGAGTTAGCTCTGGAAGGAAACTCAGACTCACCTCCGGCTCCATCCTAACCCCGTCCGCCTCGGAGAGTGGCATCCTCACTTCCTCCTCCTGTCCATCCACCTGATTTTCCAGGTCTATCTCATTACCACAGAAATGTGTTTGTATTATAAGCCACCTGAACTATTCTTTCTCCTGGGTTGGCTCTGCAGTCACGTAAGCAAAAGCATGCCTGTCCACCCAGCAAACGCTTCTTTCTTAAAAGGTGTTACCAATGATGTTCAGCACTGGTGGGAAGACCTCTGTCCCCAGACCCCTGACTACTGCTCTGAGCTGCAGCTTCTACTGAAAACAAACGAAGATCACCTTTCCCACACAGCCAATGCCAGGGGCTTCCTGATCTTTTCTTGCCGGTATGAGGTTTTGTCGTTCCTTCCTATGGGAAGAGGAAACTAAGTGGGGCCTCCCTACGTCAGAACTTGGAAAGTCTAAGTGAAACATAGTGGAATTCATTACAGATCATCCCCTCTATCATGTTTCAGGGTGCAGATACACATGCACAGGTCAGATCTGCGTGTAAACACTGTGATGACAACTTGTGGTAGGTGCCAGGTTTATCTTCCAACCACAGTGACGTGAGAGGATTCTACTCTCTCTTAAAGACACAATACATCTGACCATAGACACCCATGCAGTCAAGTAAAAGACCACACACACAAAAATAATAATAATAACTTTAATCCTAAAAAATTAAATAAAATGTATTTATCATCGGTGAATATGAACGTCATTGAAGTGACACCCTCAAAGACTCCCTCCCACAGAACGCAGTGTGAAATCAAATACTTACAAGTTTCCCACCGGATCTGTGCTCAAATGGGATCATGTTGAACTTCTTGGCCGCCTTCCGATACATGCAGTAGTGTTTGACCCAGCTGGACCCGAATGGGGCAGGCCCTGACACAAGAAATAGGAAAACAGGACTTTCTATGTTTCCTCAGAAATAAGCAAATGTGCAGAGTCCCACATTACTAAAGAGGGAAAACCCAGGAAGCCGCAGGTAAGACAGCTCAAGGAAACAAATCAGCAAAAACCGCTCATCCGAATAAAAGGGGGAAACCAGGGAACTGAGACGCAGACAGCTCATCTGAGCGACATGGAAGGAGTTAAAGACACGCTTCTCCAGCAGCTTGCTGGGCTGTTACCTCAGACCTGAAAGTCTTGTAGCTGTAAGCTGTATTTATTTGGGTCTAGGTATTAAGAGTTCATGCCAGTTTCAAACATTCCATTTAATATATGCAACTATTAATATTTTTGTTAATCTTCACCTGAGCATATTTTTCCATTGATTTTTAGAGAGAGTGGAAGGAAGGGAGAAAGAGACAGAGAGAGATTAGAATTAAAGAACCAATGTGTGTTGTTATCAATAGCTAGCTCTAGTTACTTTTCATTGTATCTGTCTCTCCCTCTCCCTTCCTGTCTCTGAAATGAATGAAAACATTTTTTTTAAATGACTTCAACAC